TCTCGCGAACTTGTCTCGTAACGTATTTAATAAAGAAACTTTCCATGAACTCACTGCAAAACGTTCGATAGAAGACATGCAGTTAATGTAACGGAAAAGGGGAGTAATGTTCAAAAGGCTTTTTTCATAAAATATAACGCTAAACGGACAGTCTGAACTGAACACCTTACATGCAAAGGGAGAAATACTATGAAATTTCCAAAAAGTTTGCACCCTTTTCTATTGTCCCTCACTCATATTCCATTTTGTATTATTTTGGAGTACTCATCGCAAACTTTTACCTTTTCATTTAGACAATTTTCTATTCAGTGAAGTGTGACAAGTCCATGTTTACTGCCTCGTTAGTGCTCCGCTCGTTGCTGGTACGGCTTTTGAACCCGAGGTCCTGTTTAGTCATGTACACTAGTCTGAAGTAATTATTAGGTAGCTATCTTCGGAATTCTCACTCCTGAGTTGAACATGGTAGTGGTAGTAGGTAGCTACAGATTTATGCCCGAATAGTGTAATGAGTCAAAAGACTTGATGTATTTATGACTCATTGATGAGAATGGCTTCAAGGGAAAACATTTTAGCAGCTTTACAATTTTGACAATTAACCTCAAACATTTTACAACCACTCAACGACAAAGTTTAATCTAACCAGTACCTAATCCTAACGAATTCATAGTTGACCGATGCATGCTTACGCCGTATTAATCACGACTAATATGTTTATTAGTTAACGGATGTGTTGGTACCAACGCGCATGCGTTTGCGTGGATGCATCGCAATGTTTTCGCGGCAGCGCGCGCGCAGGTGCGGGGGCCGGGAGCGGCAGTTGGCCGCCGTACGTGCATCGAGACGGACGTGTGTCGCGTGTGAATGTTTGATGTTTGCGAGCGCGGGGGCGGTTAGACCGGTCGCACGACCCGACGACCTTACGTACCGTTCACTCACGCACCTCTTGTGCTAAAACTAAGTGCATCAAAAAAATACATACTAAAGGATTGATTCACATTGCCCTTTCTGGATAGATGCATCTGATTTTCAACTTTGGAAACTGCATTCGAGACTTCTTGAGATATGTACGTATATTTGTTATTAGACCAGGTATGTGTGGCTAGTAACCGGTAGTATAATAACTGTTTTAATACCTGACTGGATATTCCTTCATGTTTTTGTTCTATGCAGCCCATAAAATGTAATATACGCATGATACGTGATAGGCTATCAAATGCGTTTCGTAGAATATTTGTTAAACAAACAAGGTGTAATAAGGTCCCACAAGAATTTAAGTGAATTCCGTGTCAACCGGCGCGTAAACTTTTTAAGTAATATTTTTGTAAGAAGAATGATCAGTATTATATTTTGTGATTTTTATAAATTAATCAGATTCTGTTAATGTATAATCATATAGATTCATATCAGAATAGAAAATAATAGTACAACATGCTTGACAAACTGTGAAATCGCAAACGTAAACATTAAAACTTTCAAATTAGTTCGACATGTGATTTTTGTAATAGTAGAGGAACATAGTGTCATTACAGAGCACACCTACTGGGTGAGGACTGTAGTGTGGGTAACACTTACACTCGGTCGGTAATTACAGTAATTGTAATTCTTGCAAGTGTAAAATAAAATAATATTATGTGTCCCGTGGTAAATATATGCTACTGACATGTTGCAAAACGTACTATAGCTGGTGTAATTACGACTTCTTATAAAACAAAAATAAGTTAATTTTACTCTCATTAAGTGAGTACCTAAATATCATTTAACAGGGATGCGCGATTTTAGCTTATCTTCACTTCTTAACAACAAAATAACCAATCAAGAAAATAACTTGCTCCAAAAATCATGCATTAATATCTAGGCTACGGAAACCACGACTTACCATCAGGTGGGCCGTGTGCTTTTTTGCCATGAAACCTATAAACGGAAAGATAAACTCCCAAAAAAATTATGACCCAATTGTAGAAGCGACATGACAAGCCTACAACAGAACTAAAGCTTACGAGTCCATCCATCTAAAATGTGACCTCGGTTAGCATATAACTTAACGTAAAACGCACAGCTGTTGTACACCCTCCAGGGGTACGCAAAGGTCAGTGGATATAAATTAAAGAACATGTGTACACAAAAGCATTTTCAATTTACTTACAATCTGTATTAATAAAAGATATCATTGGGCCAAGATAAATATTGTAGTTAATAAAGAAATGTATCTTGATGTATGGGAATGGGAATCAATGGAAAAAATATATCACGCATGAGAAAATTCGTAAAAGGCGGCAGAGTATTCTGATAGCAAAGGATTAAGATGGAATAACATGTCCTATATGTATGACCATGCCACTACATGGAAGTTAAAGAAGAGTATAATTAAGGAGCATAGTCGGTGTCGCCCTGTTTTCACGTAATTTTTGCCTGTTTCATGAGACAAAAGTGTAAATTATTCTCGTATATTACAAATTAATTATAACTATTAATGTCGTTAAATAATGGAATACTACACCACAAATGACGCGAACGCCTAAGGCTGCAACCGTATTTTTAATAATTATTATTATCTACAAGATTCTACTGTGCATTTCAATAGATAACGGATCAATTGTTTTATGTAATAGCCGAACTTATTAATAGGTCATTTCTATGGGTTCTCCACAACCAGAACCACTTAACTAATTACGAGATATTTGTAGCTATTATTTATAGGCAATTAAATGGTTGTCCTTAATAGTATTATTTTTGTGCAATACATGAAAGATCAAAGATAAGACATCTATCGCCATTTTGGTCTTTTAATTGGACGACCGACTGGCGTATAATTAAAAATGACATGTTTTTTTACGTAGAATTGAAGCCGTTGCCAGATACATTTGTTAAGGGATAATATTACGTAATAGTTATGCACACATAAAGTCTCTCTCGATTATTTTTTGACCGAAATGCCTAACTTCGCCAGCTACCTATATAATAAAATAAAAAAGATTTCCCTCTCGCTAAAAATGACTTAAAACGTAAGTATACTGGAGAACGGCTGAACAAATTTCGCTGTCTTGAAATGTTTGTGAAAGTCCTGGGCAGATTTTAAAAGAGACAAAAGAAAAATGTATGTGGTACGAAGTTAACAACTAGTAATTAAATAAGTATGCAAACAACGCGCGAAAGTAGCGGAAACAAGTTATAAAAGAATAGTCCACTATTTCTTCACTTATTTGTGAATATTTTAATAGAAATGTAGAATTTCTGTTATCACATAGAATTCATTTCCATCTGCAGTCCAAGCTTAATAGGCTACTTTAATTAATTAAGTAAACGTCGTACAAAATTAGGTACGTAGTGTAAAAAATATATTTTTGTTCCAACAAAACGTGTTACTACAGGAGTCTTAAAATTTAATTTGGTGAAGTAAGCCCAATGGGTCGGTAGCAAAAACTAACAACGTTCCAGAAAAAAATGGCTACTAGCCTTTACAGAGAAATGGTCAAAATAACTCCTCCCCAGCATTTATGTATAGCAACCACATTACGCCTCCTACAACCAAAAAAAAATTGAGAAAAAAAATCTGTTACACTAGTCCCCTTTTTCTGGGGTCCCTTTATGGGCCACGTGATTGGTCCAAAATTTCTAAGTAAGTACCAATAGAAGAACGGGGATAAGATTCATACATTGTACAAAGACAGATGCGCTAAAGTTGCATATGGCTGTAATATCGGTGTTTGCGTGGCTTTAAATGACGCTTAAAAAATATCACCTGCCCTTACCGTGACGTATAGGTAAGCTTGTTTCATAAAGAAGTTAACTATTATGCAATTAATTCTTATTTTGACTGCCTCGTTGAACAAGTGGTCTCGGGTTCGGTTCCCGGGTCGGATAACATATTACTGGGTTTAAAAAAAAAATTATGTAGTAGCACGGAGTCTGGAATTGTGCCTGATATATGGCAAAAGGCTCACCCCTTATTACATGGAACGAATAACATAAATAGTGAAAAGTAGGTGTTACATTGTACAGTGGTATTAAGTGCCGTAGATAATGTGCACCTCTACCTACCCTTTCGGGGATAAAAGGCGTGATGTTATGTTCATTCTTATTTTCTTTTATTGTTCCATACGATATGTATCGGTAATTGTTGCGATCAGACGATTTTATTAAATCTTTCATGTGATTAACTGGATACTCGATACGATAAATTAACAATTAACTCGTCGAGTACCGGTTTTATAGACACAATTAAAGAACAATAGGTCGCGGTCACCGGTGACCGCTTGGTGTTTGACAGTTTAAATCGAGATTCATAGGAACATGAGTTCAATTGGTAACGAGAGAGAGCATTATCAATATCCTCAATGAATTAATAAATCATTTTACTTTAAGCCTGACGTCACTCCTTGTCTATTTGTACACACTATAGGAACTATAGTCTATACAACAAGCATAGTGCAGTCCAGCTATTTCTTGATTAGAACTGTCGGACAAAAGATACACAATACATCTTTGGTGACAATACCCAAGGAAGGGAACTAGGCATAGAGTCAGGCTAACAGAGTATAAAATAGGTATAATATTTTTCTACTACAGGACATTGTACCTTCTCGTCGGATCTATGAGGTACCTTATGAACTACTATACCTGCGTCAAATTAACCTAGACGAGTCACTTGACACTTAAAAGCGCAATTTTATCGCTAATGTCCTGTCTCCGTGACAGACGCTAGACATCGTAATCATATCGTGCAACGAGAACATACGACGGTTTATATTAGACAAAGGTTGGCGTCATATAATAACGCAAACGTTAATTTGAACGACGCCCTCGTAGAAACTAACTAGGAATACAGTTATAAAGATACAATATGAATGTGTAAACTCCCAGAACACTCGACAGTTAAAGCACAGTACTTATAAAATCCCCTATGAATCATATGATTGTTAGACTGTTAAAATATAAACGATCCCTTAACAATTAGACGAGGCTAGTTTGCAAATACTTTAATTTCTGTTTCTTTTGCACAGGTTGGCAAACAGCTGCACTGGGGGTGTCGGGCGCGGGCCCAAACATACGCCCCATGCGTGCAGGTAGCATGGAGCCAGTGCCGCCCGTGCACACGCCAATTTACGAGCACAAGAAGCACCGGCTGTCACGCCTGCTCGATAAGCTGGCAGTCCAGCTGAATAATAACAACAACTACCCAACTCCATCCTGGCTCGTCCATGAGACTCCGCAAACTGAGCATAACGAAGCTCCCTTGGATCTGAGCCTGAAGTCACCTCGCGAGGGCACGGGGATATTCAGTTGCCATGCTTGTGGCCAGGAGTTTTCCATCTACGACCGCCTGGTGAAGCACATCGCGTCGCGGCACCGCAGCAAACCGGAGGGCGTGCGCGCATATGAATGTGAAGTCTGCTTTAGGAAATTCGCCAGGTCGGACATGCTGACTCGGCACGCGCGCCTGCATAGCGGGGTCAAGCCGTACTCGTGCGCGTCGTGCGGACAGGTGTTCTCGCGCTCAGACCACTTGGCCACTCACCAGCGCACGCACACAGGCGAGAAGCCGTACCGCTGTCCGTCGTGCCCGTACGCCGCGTGCCGCCGCGACATGATCACCCGCCACATGCGCACACACCTGCGCCGCCCCCAGCCCGCCTGAATCAACTCTTCTTCCTTCAATTACTTCATTTGAGACTGATTTTTTCATTCCAAAGTTGAGCCATTGTTTTGATTGGTGTTTTGTTTGGAAGCCCGCCAGAGGCCTCGTGTTGGTAAGACATATCTCATTGCCTCGCAGAATTATTGACTTGACTGCGATTGTGTGTTGCCAGTTTGCGATTTTAAAGATGTTTATGCCGCAGCGATGTCAATTGAATCTGCTGTGCGCAATGCGATGTGTCGATTCTTGCCCTTGAAATTATGTTCGGGACTATGCACTTAGTTATTCCATTTTGTATGGAAAATTGGGCCGTTATTGTTAATTTTTATACAATTTAATCACAACAAATTGTTCTGTGCCATCGATATAATTTTTGCAGTGTTAATACTTATATTTTCGTTAATTGATTATACGTCATTCTTTGTGTCACTTCTTAAAAGTTAAAATAAATGTTAAAATAATTTTGTCGAAATTATGGTCTCAGTAAGTATCAACTGTACCTATACAAGTCTTGACACTAAATTGCACAGGTAAATAGTTTTCTTGCCCGCAATATTTGAAAACATAATTTTATAGAACGCGTTGTAGATATAGAAAAAAATTGTTTTATATTAAAACTCGTCAAAAGTTAAAGTTTCATTTTTAGTTGTAAGGATGTTTTGTTAATAACTTATTTAAGTAAACTTACTTTTAATTCTTTGACAATTCAAATTTAGTGTTACTGAAAATGTTATACAAAAACGTTGGTCTTGATTATTTGATTATATTCCGTATTAAAAAATATGGATCTTACGATTTTCGTTGCGTACCTATGTAAAATATAAATGATTACTTAATTATACTAGGAATTTTAATTTTATTAATTACATTTTTAATAAGTATTCTGTAAAAGTACCTACGTATGAAATAATGTTAGCGTCGGGAGTAGATGCAAATATTAGTTCTTCGATATAGAGTACGCTCCTGTACTCTTACATCCTACCTAAAAATAATTATTTTAAATGTCTATGTGTGTACTTAAATTACATAAAATTGTTTTGTACTCTAGCACATCGGTACTTAAAAATTTACTTTAATCCCAAACTTCATAAAAAACAACCTACTTCTCAATTTTGACAACACTCAGTCGAATGTAATTCCAAAATAGTAAAGCATACATTCGTTTGGATTGAAAAAATATAAAGGTTGTTAACGACTAGTGTTGTAATGTCCGAACAAAAATAAGATGTGCATAATTTTTTTGTATTACTAAGCATCGTGTCGCAGCTTTAGTGTATTTAATACACATATTATTTGCTTACCTATATATCATTATGTATTGAACTAAGGTGTTATTACGAAGTGTGCTAAGCTTCTATACTAGTTTATCTATCTATTATAATATTCTTGTTTTGTTGTGTGTTGTTCAAATAGTTAAGCTGTTCTTTCATTTTTTTTAGTGCTGTAATAGTACCACGGCTTTATTTGTCTTATTTTTTTATATAAATGTAGCCTTTTAAGTCACTAGTTATCGATTGTTATTACGATCACGTTCAATTTTTCAATTTTAAATCTCACCAAATAAAGTTTACTCTAATTATATTATAAGTATCAGTAGGTACGTACTTAGCAGTTTTTGAACTTATTGGTGTTAGATACATGTATACAGTAGAAGAAATTGGTGTTGTGAATTTAGATGGATATACTACACGGATTTTTATATCTAATAGGTATTGAAACAGATATCTTCGAACACAAATCAAGCTAGTACACATCATGTTTGAGGACAACATCAAACTCAAACTCAAAAGCATTTATTTCAATTAAACCTTAATTTGGTACTTTTGAAACGTCAACAAATATGAAATAAATAATAGTCTGTCCGTCAGTGAAGCTAGGCGCTCGTTCCAAAATGTCGATTCGAGTGGAGAAGAACGAGCAAGAAACTCCATTCGTTACTCTTTTTAAAAAAGTCTGTTTTACATTGCTCTGATACATATTCCAATATTGTACACACATGTGAGAATAATGTAAAGACATACCTGACGCAACATACAAATAACAGAACGTACTAAAATAAAAAAATCAAATCTATACCCCGAAGTAAATTCCTATAGATTCCAAATACGATGTTCCATTACTTTAGAAATAAATATTGTGTTTGTAGAATGATCTTGACTTTTAACGTGTCAGAACAGCAGTTATTTATGCATGGTGCAAATGGTGAGGAGTTGGTAACCCGACTTGATTAAGTCTTGAATTTATAATTATTTAGCAAGGTTTTTTAATTTTAAAATATTCATGAATCGAAACTTAAAAACTTAATCCTCGTATCGGTTCTTTAATAGTAGGTAATAAAATAGGTTACTATCCTATACGTATTATCTATTTGTATTCGTGTGCTGTTGAATTAAAACGCTATTTCTAAAATATATTCTCAATTTTTTTTAGTGTCAGATCTCATTCTCAAAAATTTCGTCAATCAATAGGTTTTGTTAATAAGCTGCTTGCGTAATTATGTCCTTGGCATAGTATAAAGAACAAAGTAGGTTATCTTCATACAAATGCTCCGCGCGCGGCTTATATGTGTGCGCCATAGTATCTACGCGTCGACGCACGCACACTTTAACAAAATCTCGACCCGTTTCTCAGTGCGCCAGGCAGGGCTAACACTGCACGAGGTTGGCGCGCGCTTCACGGCTTTTCGGCACTGTTCAATGAAATAAAAAATGTCTGATAATCGTAGAAGAACGTATTGCTGTGTGTTTGGGTGTCTTAATAATTGATTGATTTCAGAACTGTCTCTGTTCAGATTAGGTACCTATTGAACAGGAAAGGTAAGCTAGTCACTTTTTCTAGCATAATATAATTTGTAGGTACTTGATGATGAGATACCTACTTACTTATTCTTACTCTTATCATTCTTCATAGTTCCTACTCAACCAGAAATGTAATTACCTACTATACTTAAATATTATAAGAAAATGTGGTATTAAATATTATAAGAAAATGTGGTATTGTATTGTTTATTTCACAGTTTATCTGATTTGTTAAGAACGTAGCCGAGTCGCATTTTTCCATATAAATGTATTCCCAAATTTACTTTCTGAATACTATGTATAGAGCTAAAGTTTATTTTAAGAAGTTAATAATCTTTTTATAAGCTTTTTATTTTAACTAAATTTATAAATTGATAAAATATTCAATCATAATATGCTTTTCATTTCATAAATTTAGATCAAGTGCTGCTTGTTCGAAAATATTAACTAAAAGTAAAAGTGACAACCCTGGGGATCAACGCAAGAGTAGGCTAATAACTCGGCGGGCGGCCTTAGACAACCTACTGTATATGTTTATACTGTGTCCTTGGCTTATCAACACCGAAATTAAAGTTTTGTAATTCATTAATAAAATTAAGACATAGTTTAAATCAATATAAAAAAACAGAGCAGTGAACCGAGGTGTCATAATCCTACTAGATGCCTTGTTCACACTAGGCCAGTATTTTAGTCGAGTAGTGAACATTCAGTAGTCCTCTCTCGGTTCTGTCCCAAAATGCAAGCGAAAGGGATATATTAAACACCCGCTGGACTTAAAAACTAGCATAGTGCAAACAAGGCATAAGCGTCGAGTACTACGCTGCACTATCGTACGATATCATGCGAAGTGATGCTACGGCAGTCAACTGTCCTATGTAATTTGGATCGTTTTGTTCTCGAATTATTTAGAAGTACAATTTAATGCTGTCGTGTCTAGTATCATTGAAAACAACACAAACACAGCATCTCACAGAAATATGGAAGTCACGCCTACCTATACTGCAGACATGATAGTATTTTCAACGTCACATGACATTATATTCATTGATCAAGTAGGGGGTACCCCGCAAAAGTAAATTACATTATTTTTTTGTTCACACTTTTTTTTCTGATTTTCGTGTAGGTACTCCTAAGATTTGACGTCAGTTGCGTTCACGCGCTTAATGTTACACTACGGTGTGTGAGTAGCCTATAAATATGTTGTTTGATCATAACTATGGCTTCCTTAAAAGGACTATGTTTTTAAAGACATTTCATGAGTTATTTTGTATTTATCTTTTGTATGTTTAGGTAAGGTGTTCAGATATTTTAAATTTAAGTTTTAGATTTCTAAAAATCGTTTTGGTTATGCTTAGGGGCATCAGAAAATATTTTGATTTTAGAAATGGCCTAATAAGAATATATCTCGTTAATAAAAGTCTACAAGAAGAAGAGTTAGAAAATCTAACACTTGGACTGTCTAAAATAAGTTTAATGATTACTTAGGTTCGTAAAAAAGTTTGCTAAATATTTTCTGATGCATCTAAATAAGCTTTGCGCCAATATCCACGTTGACTGAATGGCTGTATCTGACTATTACCTTGTTCGTAAGCATTAAAAAAAACTCATTAATTACCTATATATCTGACTAGTACATTGGTCAAAGTAGTCGTACCTGCCAAATAAAGAATACGGACGAACAAAATGAAAAGTAATGAAAATGTATAAAAAATATCTCTCAAAGAGACCAGGCACTGCTGCGACAGTGAAAAGTTATCTTGGACAACTTTTGACATAGACAATGCAGATAACATTTTTAATTTTTATTTATAAACTTGTTTCGTAATACTTTAAAAACTTTGCTCAATTTCCTAACCGCCATTTTTTGAGTCAACGTGTCTATTAGTTGTTACTAGAATCATTAATTAATTAAAATTAAGTTTTACTGTGATAAAAATACGATTTTGTTTTCAAACTGCTGTGTTTGACAATATTTATTGTCTTATGAATAAAAATTAATAAATGGATGTATAAAATAAAGTGTGGTTGTAAAATTATTGCTTCTTTCCTTACACCCCACTTCAGATAGCAGTCGGACAAACTTAAAAGAATGGAGAAAAGAAGGAGAAGGAGTCAAATTCAACGCTTTATCTTAATTTGATAGAAAAACGAAAATCCGCTCAGTAACCAACTTACTATCTACTTCAAAACAAATACAACAAATACTTATACTTATAATTTTAAAATAACTTATTGAACATCGTTGTCATTTTCCACTTAAACAGATCGGCAATAAGGACTTGCATCCAGTTGAAACACCATCGAAGCATAAAGCTATTGACCCAATAATTTTTTGAGTCATAAATAAATTATAACAATATGTAGCGCAGTAAAACCGTTACGTAAATAATAATTTATGATAGGTAATGCGGAAATCGAACCCGCTACGCGTTACTCAGAGGCCCGTCGCGTGGCCAGTCGTAAGTCGACAACGCACTTGTAACATCTCTGGCGTCGCGAGTTAACGTCAAAACACACTAAAAAAAATCATCGCACACCTAATAATGATGTCGCGGAGAACATAATATAACGGGTAACCGGGGCTCCGGCTCGACGTGCAGGAGAAGGAACGGGGTGGTTTTTAGTCAGTAAGAGTCTGACACTCCCTCCCGCCTCACCCAGGCGGGAGCAGCCATTCGATGACTTTCCCCCTTAAAAAAAAAAAAAAACACCTAATAATGATGGTTCCGGCACGGCTCCACCACGGCTCCGGCACGGCGTGATTAGCTTTGGAAACAATAGAAAAAGGTTGTAAGCGTGCTGCCGATGAGTGAGCGCCGCGCTTACAGCATTCTATATTGACATTATAAAATATATCATACGAAATCATATATCATCGTACATAGGCAGGGGGTAGGTACTCGTGTTTACATTAAACATTTATGTAAACTCGATACGAAGATAAATTAACTAAAAGCTTACAGTTACATAACTGGTTACCTACCTAAAAATTAAAATAAATCTAGACCGAAATTCTCCAGAAAGTAATAATACCTAGCTTCCTACCTATGCTCCATCGATCTCCACCTCATCATCATTTACTACTGGTATCCAGCAGATAGCAGACGTTCTCTGATGGTACCTAAGCGAGTTGTGTTTATCTCCCAATCGATTTCCATCACGGTGGCCAGTCTAACTAGCCTAATCCACTACGCAGGAGATATTATAGTGCACAAACATAAGTGCACTCTCTGCTCTCTCACTCTCTGAACCCGATGGGACGGCAGCCGCAGGCGCAGACCAACGGCTATAGGTACCGGTGTGAAACACTGCCGGACTTCTTGACTCCAGGCTAAACAATGGTCATTTTACTCAGAAAATGCCATGAGGTTTCACTTTTTGGACACGTTGCAATGGTCCAGTCCGGTCCGGTCACCCAACTACCGCGTCAACCGAGTTGTGTACGTGCAGTAAGTAGCCCGTAACCACTATGTAAAAAATACCACGGCCCATGATTGTAATTTTATCAATATTAAAGCTACACATAGGTACGTCCTACGTCGGTACTGGCGGGTGTAATGGCAGGTTACCTGTGCCGTACTTTTCGACTAGAACAGAGATGATAATCTTTAACTGATGTTTTTTTTAATCCTACGTAACTAACATCAATCACAATCAATCGCCACTATGGAAATTCTCAGCATCAATAAATAACATTAACAGATAATCTCAAACCATCAAAAGGCGTACAGATACGTCAGGAACGTACCCACTTGCAACATCAGAGGAGTTACTTACCACCAGGTCAGTCTACTTGTTTGCGCTCTATACCATAAAAACACACTTGGTAGGTATGTACCTGTTAACTTCATAAATATAAAATAAACTACCAAAAACCCTCCCAGAAGCAGTAATATTGGGAATTAAGATACCTTCTTGTTTTAGAAAAGAAAGGCGCTGAGCTTTAGGGGGAAAGGATCAGAGTGACTAGGGACTATGGCTACTTGGTCAGTTCAGTAGCCAAACAATAGCTACTACCTTCAAACTAAATCAGTATTTTTTGCCGGTTACCAATTAGATGCACTAGGTCTTCCCAATAGACCATCTAGTCCTGGTCCATCGTTGTGTGCAACGATTGGTGCAGCAGATTTCTCTGTACTCTGATCACCGTGATCTCTTCAAACGTGTACTGTGCGGCAACCAGGTCACACCTGCCAGCTACTGCCAAATTATACCTGTTACCGATTGGCTGAAATATAGAACCACCCCAATACCAGATTGGACTAAAGCTCCCTGATTGATGTTACGTGGGCAACTTCAAATCTTTAGGGTTTAGGATAGAACTTGACTGTATGAGCACTTGCTCATACCCATCATGGCCTACCCACCTACATGCCTAGATCAGCCGTAAGGCCCTTTGGGCTTTTTCAATATTAGAAATTCTTAGTAATAGCTCGGATTCTGAATGGCAGTAGGGTCGCCACCAACTTCACCTGACGAAAAGTGGGTGCAAATGAGGTGACGAAAGAGGTAGGCACCTCTCAGGAAAATAGGATTTATATTACAAATGAAAACAGTAAGTTTTTTTACGGAGCCTTTATTAATACTTTGAGAACACCAATTACATAATGATCATAATATTGAAAATTGAAATGCTAGCAATGATGCTTGGAACATTACTAGAGTTTCTGTAAACCTTCGGTTTGTTGCAATAGGTCAATGGATCAGGCAACTCGAGGCAACCAAATCAGACATTGGGCTATTGCCTACATCTACATCTTGAAATCGTGAATGCTACATATAATACGACACCACTTAAAATGTAATATTTATTTAAAAAACCAGCAACTGACAATCTGCATACTTGTTAACATTACCATCTCAAACCTACTGGTTCACCACCCAAGGGAAGTGGGAACACAATCCTGTGCCATCATAACTTTCAAATCATTCCATAATAATTATCAGAACTACAACTATGGATATATGACTGCATACCCTAATGGCAGCTTACACAACAATTGATTAACACATTAAGAAATGTCTATACATTTCTCTGTACACAAGAAAAAGGAATTATCATTCATCATTAAAGTGATGCCCTAATGGCTACATGTAGGTCATAATAGTAATTGAATAATATATTATCATACAATTCCAGCATTTCCTCTGCCCGGGCAAACTTTTGACTTGTTTATTTTAATACAATATTAATCCAAATGTCTCCTAATGGTAACATACTTTGCATAAATTAGTTGAATCTTACACTAAAATCCAATATATAATTAGCCTTATTAGCAATAACATTAAATTAGACATTGATTATTTGTATTGAATTATTTGAAAACTAGAAGTTACCAATTTGCATGTGATGAGTACAATCATTAGCTTTAGCATTCTCAATTGTAAGTACATCACCTCACCAAATCCTCTTGATTAAAATTTCCTCATAATTATTACTTGTTTAAGTACATACATTAGCAATAAGAGTACATATTTCATTAAGAAAATCCATTAAGTACTGAGATTCCAATTCAACTCACAAACAAGTTGTACAGACCAGATTTTGACATATTGGTTATTATAGTGGTATGGTTAATATAATTACATAGTACTGATTGATATATTTGATAAAACCAGTATATGAAGATTAATTACTATAAGTATTAATATAGACACCAATAGTTTTAAAAAATCGAGACTGCTAGCTGAATGCAGAGATGTTACAATAATGCCATTGGATGGGAGTTGCATACAACTTGCATACAACTAGCAGTCCTCACACCCTCCCCAATCCAAAAAATGGGTATAAGGAGAGGTCAGCACCAGCAGTGCAATGGTACATTGTATTCATTTAAGCCATTGAACTACTGTTGCCTTCATCATCAAGGTAAATTTAATAAATAGACAGTCAATATTTAAAAACTACTACAGTCTTTCCTTTCCGATTGGCTATCACTGAAGATCACAACACAACACTGCCCCAGCCACCACTGTGATTCTTCATTCAGGAAACAAGTTTCCTAGCCCCAGCACTTCGTGTAACACCACATTTTCATACATTATGGTACTTATACCAGTTTTGTTGTTATCATGGATTAGCTTCAATTTTTCCCCAATCACGGCTGGCGTTATCGGTATAACCGGAATAACGCCGCCGGGGGGCGGATCCTAGAATCTTCTACACTCTCTGACCCGTTTTCTGATTGGGCGGGGCTCCACTCTGCCGGCACTCAGCATTACAAGCCAAAAGTGTTCATCCATCGTTGAAACGAGACCTGGTGGCATGTTTTCTAAAAACTTCAATCCTGACTCAGAAGCAGCAAGCATCCTTGCAGAATTGACCATCAGGGAGGACTCCCAAGATGAAGCATATGTCAGTCTAAGAGCTGACAATGCGGCTGTTGAGCTCACCACTGGGTACAGTGTCTTGTGGCGTAGGAGGTCTGTAAAGGTGACTCCTTGGGGTTCACGGTTGAGATAAAATTCCAGTGTACCACGAAACATGTCCACCATCACACCAATGATGGTTCCCTTGCAGAATCCAGGGCAATCATCAACAACTTCTTTGTTTTGGCATATGGCTCCGGTGTATGATAAGCCATAAGAGTCGTGGCTATTACCAATACATGAGGTATAATCACGTACAGTTTCTGGAATGTTTCGAGTGCCAACACCGACCATTACATCTGTGCCATAAGGATGGGTCATCATCTTCACCTCCCAGTAATAATTATAGTTCCGTTTTAAAACAATGTTTCCCCTGACGGTAGCAGATCCAGAACTGAAAAGGGGATGGAACACGACGAGCTTTCCGTCCTCGAATAAGTCAGCCCACCTGGGGGACTTCCGCGGCAACTTCCAGCGCCAGTCAACAATTTCACGCTCCTCGCCACAGCCGCAGTCAGGGTCGCCCGGTTCGTCCTCGTCCTCGCTTTCCCAGCATTCACAATAGCGTTCTGGGAGAGTCTCGTTAATGTAAGGCGTTTTTTCCTTTGCTTCACCTTCTGCCATCATGAAGAATTAAATATTATTTCTCAAAAGTACACCGCACTCGGCCAGATAACGAAGTGAACTGAGCTGGCCCCCGGGCAACCGGCGCGCACTAAGGGGCTGGGGGGGCTGGGCGGCGGGCTGATGCAAGAGGGAAGAGAGGTGCGCGGAGTAATGAAGACGCCCGGTGCATGAAAGGGTGCAGGGGGTGCAGAGTACTCTTGTGAAAATCGATAATTTCCAGCGACTATAAACCAGTTTGGGGTTCACATTTCATGTTTCGTGATGTGAATAAATGTAGGTATATAATGCATTTTATGTTTGTAGTAGTGGTGGTTGTCAAAAGTAAAGTTTATTGTCTATTGACGAACTGGATTCACATAGTGGTTTGAAAATTTTATTAAAATTTGATTTTTAAGGATGATTTTATCTTAATGACTAAAAAACATTTTAATTTACTAAAACTACTACTACTACCTATCCGTTTTGGTTTTCGATTTCGATATTTTCCGTTTCAATAGTATCTGTCACTGTCAGTGTCATAGTCATAACTTTTAAATGTCGAATGTAATGTCACATTCATTTTGACATTGGACAAGTTCTAGTGTTGCCAATTATGTAACTAGAAAATGTTTAAAAAGTATGTTTTATTTATTACAAATAATAAACCTAAATAACATATATGCATGGAACGTTATAGCACCCAAACTCAACATAGTGCGTATGTTTGTTTACATAATGGAATTAAATTCGTTTCTTTTTTTACTTTGATTTATTCACTGTTTTAGTTTAAGTTAATTGTTAATGTAGCTAATTTTGTAATATTTATTCACAATCATGTTATTTAAGTTTATTATTTGTAAATAAAACCAAAGACGATGTATACAAATACGCGTATTCGTTGCAAAATAAATTTAAATTAAACTTTTTTAAAATACGCATTCCTACGGTTTAGCATATAGTCATCAATCTTTTCATGCATGCTCGTCGGTTAAGGGTACTTTTAGTTTGGCCCTTCTTTAATATATCGCCAATCTGGTCACTATATGTCCGTCTAGGGCGCCCTCTTCCTCTTCTAGTTATTATATTCTTAACAAAAAACGATACGCAAAAGACAGGTGATTGCAGATCATCAACTGGCAACCTTATAGTATTTCAAAAAAGTAGAATGTTTCAACTTTCAACTCACTCGACCTACTTAAATTTAGTGTTGCCATACTTTTTAATAATGTAAATTCTTTTCATGAACAAATAATTTTAAACCGTAACAAATAAATAAAAGAAGATCACGACTTATAGTTCATTTTTTTACATCCAACATTTCATCTTGCTTGGTTCCACTGGCACTTTCAAGTTTAAGGTCAATAAAAATTAACTCAACACGTATATTTTTTACGGTACGATATAAGTACAATTTTTACTACCATACTTGTACCAAACACCAAACTTGAATAACATTTAGACTTCTTTTGGGGTATAACACCGAAGATTTCTCTACAACTTAATTTTTAAATACCGCCACCTAGTTTCGTAATAGAGCAAATATAATTTTATCGTGGCAACATTTGGCGCTAGTTTTCATAGGATCTGGGATTCCGCATTGGAAGTTTGTAGTTCTCGCGGCCGCCATTTTGGCGTCACTATCGCACTGTAGGAGGAAAACGAATTGATTGAAACGCCCTCATTGAGAAAATATAGAAGCTCAACCAAGATACAGGTAAATTTCAATATTTTGCTGTTACTGTTGTAAACTTTTGTACATCAAATTCGATATTGAATAAATTTCAGAAAACTTATGAATTGGATTGGTGCTCGTGACGATATTAAAATGTAAAAAGGTGTAATTTCCCTGTAAAGCCGTGTCTTGAGTATTGACTGACGCTAGCGCCGTCTATCTTTTCGTTTCCAATCTGTCTGTGGCGGTAAATTGCTCGTAATTGTATATTTTGTTATGTTTTTTAGTTAGATAACAAGTAAATGTTACGGAATAGAAATGAATATCGAAAACGTCTAAACACGTTGATAAAATGGCGGACTGATAGTGCGAGATTCACAAGTCTCCGATGTATGTAGGTTTCTGTTCCAACGGAGAAAGCAGTCATCGTTTTATTAAAATTTTATCAAATCTTCTATCAGGCTTAGGACTTGGGACCTGACATATGGGTGTAGGGAACAGAGAGTATAGTTCCCTAAGATCGGAAAAGGAGGATCCTCCGACCAGGCGAGGTGATCGTGCCTGGCGGGCTTTCTGCCCAAGTTACTCGTTGGGATTTTCTATCCGTGTTAAATCGAATGTAAACTTAGTGTGTGTGTGTGCGATGTAGGATTTTATAACGTCATCCGTTGACTTGTGACATGTGTCGCCACATCACTCCCTCCCAAGACCGGAGGTCGATCCTGCTGAGACGACTGTCGATGCTGGAGATGAGCGGTGCCAGAGCCAGTGTAGAAAGTCCCTAGTTCCAGTGAGTCGCAACTGTGCCGTTGAGTGCCCAGCTTATATTTTTGTTACCCTACAAAAATATAAGATTTTACCTATTATCTTAATTCCTTATTAAACTGTCAAACACCAAGCGGTCACCGGTGACCGCAACCTATTGTTCTTTAATTGTGTCGATAAATATGGTACTCGACGAGTTAAATTGTCTAACTATATTGATAAATTATATGAGAGTAGTGCGATATTTTTTTCACATTATTTACATTGCCCGCCAATCTACTTCAAAATCAAACCCTACGTGGTGGAAATGTGCAATCCTGCAAAATGGAGTTGGACACTATCCACTAAAAATTTAAAAGCTACTACGATGTATCTTTTGTCATTCAAGAGTTCCTATGTTGGCAATGTAAAAAGTGCTAAAACACTTTATGTAGAAATATTGTGTTTTGAAAATTTTCATACTTAGGTGGTCAGTGTACTCAATTGAGTACACCCCTGAATTATCATGAAAAATACTATTTTCCATTTTTTTCTCGCATTTACTGTTCTTATACTCTCAGTTGATTACGAAAATAAACAAAATTTAAAAAAAATATTGGTACTTTTTATTTGACCTTTAATGGGTTAACATGTACCCGAAAGTCTAGAAATTTTAATTCCATACATAAAGACAAATTGAAAATATGTAAATTATATCTGCCTACAAACTAATTGGGATGTAAGCAAAGTACAATTTTGTGATAAACAAATCAATGATATATTTTGTTCCTGGGTTCATTTTGATTTTTGGCATAAATTAAGTATATAACAAATAATGGTGATATTTGAAATATTGTATTTACATACAGTTCAACAATCACCTACCCATACGATACATATACCAAATCAAAACAAACCCGTGCATTGACGGGGTGCTCTTGAAGGGGAAAATTTAATCTCATGCCATCTAGTGGAGAATAGTGTTGACATTCCCTATAATATATTATTACATGTTACTTTGATACACATGATGTTACATATTTGTATCTAGTCATGATTATTATAGTTATAATTTACAAGTCTAATCCTCTTTGAACATAAAAAAGTGTAATCAACACATCAAGTATACATAGCAAAATATATTTTTGTTTATTGTGTAACAATTATTACGAAATAATTTCTTGATTAAAATAATACCTTCATTTTATTTTGTCATTTTTCATAAACCATCTACAAAAAATCCTAACTGAAAAAATTGTAACTTGTTGGTGAATGAATAAATGAAGTTATTTAAATTTTAATGGATGTTGGCCAGCTCATCCCTTTGCATCTTTTCTTGGGTGAAGCTACAACATTGCAAATAATTTGCCGTTGATCTGACCTTGAACAACCCTTCGTCAGCCCTTGTTGTCCTTGTTTCTCCCTAAATGTTCCAACCAATCACAGGGTGAGATTCAAATGAAAGTACTGAACTTTCAATGCAAGTACATCAAATAATTCAACCCTTTTCTGCTTTTTGAGATGAAATGATAGGGACCGGGCTATCTCCCCTTGTCCGCTATATTGTTCTACTTATGAATACTGCCCAGTCTCCCAGTGGGCGCGATACTGACCGCCTGCGTACATGGCCGACGGTGCGCGCGGTAAGTTTCATATATCATTTTAAAACTATTCAATGTATTACTATGTGACAAATTAGTTCCAGTCTCTTTAATCTTTTCACAACTTGATACAGATCAATCTCTTTAACATTCTGTTCATAAATGTGAGACACAATTGTCAAGTTTATTTTTGATACATAAATCAATACTTATTACAAACTAAGTATACAGTGGTTCACAATACTTGTTGATTTGCTATTTTGAAGTGATTGAGAACAATGTTGTTGCATGTTGCAACAACATTGTTCTCAATGCAACAAGGGTGTCAACATTATATCATTGCTTATATATTTTTAGTCTTTTTATTTCATTTAGTATGATTTCTAGTTTTTTTTAGTTAACTATAGGATGGTTAGGTATCATTGTTGACCTGTATGACAAATGTTACTCTCTGTGTTTATGTGAGTAACTAAGGCTGCTGATGTTCCCAATATTACTGTAAGATATTAAGCAAAATAATGCTGAGTGCGACAATATTATCTTAAAAGATAAGTATAAGCTATGTTAGTACATAGGTAGTCCAAACAGTGCATTTCGGGCAAAATAAGTGATTCATTATGTTTTTCGAATTGTATAGAAAACAATATGGTACTAGTCATTATAAAATCATATTTATTGATTTGTACATAACAATTTATTCCCGAAGAGGGCAGAGGTGCACATTACGGCACTTAATGCCACTGTACAGTGTAACACTCATTTTTTCACTATTTATGTTATGAGTGCCATGTAATAGGGGGTGAACCTATTGCCATATGATGATTGATTATTGATTTGTCTGACCATTTTATCACTGTTTGTTGTACACCACTACATGTACACCTATTGTTGACAAACTGTTAAGACCAATTTCTGCTAGCGTCAGTCCATAGCGTTCTGTATAGCGTTTGACGTAGTTAGGTACTTAGTTGTGTAAACTACTAACACCATTGTATTCTCTCACTAGCTTACGAACACATGTAGAGAAATGTTCTTCAATTACATTTGATTTGTCCTTGTTTTAGTCCGGCCTGAGGGCCAGATAGAAAATCCAAATAAGATTGGATACGTGCATCTATTTCCATCCTCTGCTCACAGAGGCAAGAGTGCTACTATTCAGGTGCAAAAGGCGAGCCAGGAAAGCCTGGCATGCCAAGACAGTGTGGCAGGCCAGGTGACACTAAACTACCGAAAGACTAGGTCGTATTTCTTTGGCCCAAAAGGAAAGATTATCACAGAGCCAGAACCGTGGTGCTTTAGACGTCCTAGAACTAAGCCAAATATACAAATTCATGAAAACATCGTAATAGCACCAGCCCGGTTGGTGGATCAGGAGGCGCCGTCCAGTCAGGAGAGACTGGCTAGCCAAAATTCCACAAATGAAAGTAATTTCAGGCAAGACAACTATGAACATTTGATACAGGGGTGCCGCCAGGCAAAGCAATATTTGACGAACCCGGTTACTATAAAACAAAGCAATCAGGTTCATCTTGTTAACCAAGATCCTGAGGGACAACATATTATTGACCTTACCCAGGAGTTTACTGAACGCTGCGATTCTTCGAATCAAGATAATGTCAACCAATATCACTGGAAGAGCCTGATACAAAAGCAACTGGTTCGCCAAGATTCTGCGAGCCACCACAATATCTCACAAGACAACCAAGACAATTGTTTACAAAAATATTTGGTTCTTCACGATTCTACAAGCCAGAAGACCGTCAAGCGAGTTACCCAAGAGACTCTGATTCAAAAGCATCTGGTTCGCAAAGCCCCGTCGCAACAAAATCACAAAGAGCAAGATATAAACAAAAAAGTTGGTTACGATTTTCCGAATAAAATATGTAAACTTAGGCAAGATATCCAAGAAAACTTGTCAGATAACTTTACAAAAGACATCGATCAAGAGGATCTGATTAAGAAGCACTTAATTCGCTACGATTCTGCGAATAAAGCTAAAGTAGAACAAGATGACGCACTAGATCAGTACCAGGTACAGCACGATTCTACAAAGAAACAAAATAGTGAACAAGCGGATTCTGTCAAAAACTACCCAATTCATCACAATTCTTCTGCACAGAAAAATAACTATAGAAAAGAGAGCATATTAAACAAGAAGCACGATTTTATAAAGACAATTACTGTTGGTCATGAGCACCCGTTAGACGAGTACTTGATTCGTCACAAACCTTCGACTAAAGATAACATTACCCAGGAAAAAGTATCAAACAAGCACCTAGTGGATCACGACTCCGGTGAAAACATCGACCAAAAGAACTTATCGAACAAGTACGTGGGGCAGCACGAATTCGCGAAACACAATAACTTAGGTCAAAAAGATCTTTTAGATAAATACTTATTTCATCATAAATCTGCTAAGAAAGCCAATTTCGAACAAGAGGAAACATTTGACAAATTTTTGGTTCATCACGACTCTGGGGTAAACGAGTTACTGATATCACATGACTGTTTAAGGAAAGACGACAACATCGATCAAGGGTATGTTTTAGAAAAGTACTTAGCCCGCCAAGATTCCGGCAAAAAAAAACACTCCGGAGAAAAGAGCATCATAAACATTAACGTGGCACAACACGATTCTATTGTGAAAGAAAGCATTAAACAAGAAGACGTACTAGAGCAGTATTTGATACAACACGATTCTGCAAAGAAAATTGATGATGGTCAGGAAGACTTGTTGGACCAGTATTTGATTCGTCACAACTCCATAAAACACAGTAACTCCGGACAAGACAAAAATACAAAGCCGAGTGTAGTGGTACGAGACGTAGACCACGATTGTGCAAAGCCATATACCATCGATCAAGAAGACCCTATAGATAAGTATCTAATCCGCCACGATTCTATAAACGAAGATACTCACCTCAATTCAGTAGCTACACCTAACTCAAATTCTGATGAAGATAACGTCGAACAAGAGAACCTGATTGACAAATACCTGGTTCGCCAAGACTCGGCAAAGAAAATTACCGCAGCTCGATGTTATTCTGCAAATAAACCTAGTGTTGGACAAAACAACGAAAATACTTTAGTTAACAAGTACCTGGCTCGCCACGATTCGGTCAATAAAGATAAAGAACAAGAGAGTGTATTAAACCAATACCTGGTTCGTCCCGAACCTCTAAAGAAAAGTAACATCACACAAGACAACCAAGAAAGCGTAAGTATTTGTTACCAGCACACAACTCCTAGCCAACATCAAAACACCAAAATTCTATTGTGTTTTACTAACACTAAGTTAGAGTTTTACTAACAACATAAAATACAAAATTTTGTTATTTAAATTTCTGAAATATGTTGTAAATAAATAATAACTAAAATTAGACAAACTGACTGAAATGTACCTATAGGTATGTCAAATCATTTGACTTGTTTTATTTACCTACACCTACTTTGGCCAACTATTTCTAGTAATATAAAACACTCAAAATTCGGCTTAATCCTCTTATGTCACACGTCTATATAGGTAACATAATATCTGAAGCAGCGTAGGACGTTCGTACGTTTTGCTTACACTAGACTTAAGTATACGAATGCATTTCAGGATTGCATGGTTCATCAAGATTCAGCTGATCCCAATAACGTTGAGCAAAGTAACCAAGGGAGCTTGGCGGGAAACGATTCTACAATGCCTCCTCCCGACAAAAAGGATAAGAAGCAAGCTGTGCTTCAAACTTACTTGAATCCAACAACCGCTGCTACAGTTATTGCAGGTTAGTTTGCAAAATTACATTCAACCATAGTTCTAAGCACTTTTTTTAACCAACTATCAAAAGCCTTCTCGGAGTAGCTCTTACTAAAAATCCTTTCGCGCTTCTTTCTGTGATGGGATCTATATAGGTATACCGGGGTACCTATATAGGAGACCAACCCGCGACCCTGAGAGAGCATTCACCCTAGTATGCCCGTCTCTGGGGGCCTAAGATCTATAATATTTAGCATTATTACAGACATACAGGAGCATAATGAATTTCTTTACAGAAAGTAAGAACAATATATTTCTTTTTTACAGTGAATGCCACAGATGATAAAGGTTTACCTTCCGGGATGGTAGAGTATTTTGTGGACGAAGATGGCAAATATTACTACCAGTCGACGGTTGATGGACAAGCTTTGGTTATGAACACACCGGCTGTCAACCAGGATGAGGTATTGAAAAATATTATATTACTTGTATTTTTGTACTTAGAATTAAGAATAGAATTCTGACATTTATTATTATTAAAAGCCAAAGTTTTATTTTAGCTACTGTTGCAAATTGCATTTAATATTTTGTACAGTGCAATTATTATAGGAAATAATTCAGATGGGCCAACCAACTGTAATAATTATGGATATTATTCTGCTTATTGTCTTCTTTACTTATAAAACCATGCAACATTTGAAGCTTCTGATTTGTTTTAATTTAAGCTCCAACCGTTTATTTTCATGCATAGGTTTTAATAAAACACGGTAGCGCGGATTAAGCCGCCATCTTGCAAATGAGAGTGGGTGCTTTTATTAGGTTTTGTAGCTCCCTAAGTGGGGTGCTATCACGATCCTATTGATACCAGTCAGTCCCTGCTTTTTAATATTTTAGGGTTCCATTGGATACGATAGGGAAAAATGAACCCCTTTAGAATTGAGTTGTAGTCCACCTATCTGTATACATTTTAGATATATCTGTCTGTATACATTACATTTTGGTGTATACATAACATTATTTAAGGCATGGTTCGATTTCATGTCTCAATTTTTATGTCTCAATGAGGAATGTTTTACCTGAGAGGAATATCGTTTTTGGTCACTAGGTGGCTCTAATGTAACGCGAGGTTTGTTTGGCCCATTACTACTGCTGTCAAAAATATGTTTGGACTGAAAACAGAATTATGTCAGAACTTTGCATTTTAAAAACTTAACAAGAGCTTATAAATTATTCGCTATCTGCGAAGTCGGTGGGTGGTCGGGAGACAATTCAATCGATCGCAGCGCGCAGTAGGGCAGGCATGTGAAAAAGCTCGGGGTCAACACGTGACAAATTGATTTTATTCTGATAACTTTTACGAAGACTTGAATGTGGATTGAAGTCTTCAAGACTAGTAAAAATGATGGAATCTGCAAAAATGGGTGACAATTAATTTTCCCTTTGACATTAAATTAGTCTCGTCGATCTCAAAACAAGCAAATGTTAAATTTACAAATAGTGATTTGCTGAATCGTTACTATAATTTAATTATTTGCAAATATTTATTTGAAATTACGTTTACAAATTAAAACACGTTCACTAAACCCACGTTGCAGGCTGACTTAAAAAATAGACTGATAAGTTATTCTTCATTAAACTTCGATAGTGACACGTCACTATTTAAAATTAGCAAAAACTGGTGGTCTACTCTGATTCGGCGAAAAACGAGGTTTCGGACGAAACTTCAAAGATTACCTACCACAATGACATATTAACGAACGAAAAAGGAGTCAGAAATTAGTATGAGATGTACTGTTTGACGTCGATATTTTCGGAACCCTACTCTAATTGTACAATCCGCACGAACGAAAATTCGAGTATGACAGATTATTCTTCGGACGTTTAATGTCATTTCGACGAAACCAAAATAGTTATCGTTTGATTTTCGTTTGGGTTAAATTTTATTAAAAAATCAATGAAAGTAATTGCAAGTCTTTGTTTTATCACGGTTTCTTCGTGTGGGCAACACGTAAGGCACCAAAGTAACCACTTAAATGATGGTATATAATCAATGTACAGTCAGCTCAAATAGTTTGTTAACACGAACCTATATATTTTATATGTCTATGAGAGTTAGTAACATTTAGGGTAATTAAATACTTATTTGAATACCTTATGTATTGTACATAAATGTTTCATGTGTAATGTTTTATTTTAAAACGAATAATACCGCTAGAAAAATAAACTTAAGTATTGCTAGTACATATTTTCGCTATTCTTTCACGTCTATTAATATAACAACATTTATAGATACGATAAATTCTTTCAAAAATATATTATTGTTAATCATCATAACATGAAATAATTTATTGTCTTCAAATTCTCATGTAGACATTTAAAATGTTTAAATGACTGTACTAATATAATACGAATAAATTTAGTTGTCATTATTTTATAAATAAATGTCAATAAATGACAATGCCAACATTCTTAAACTTTTTAAATTGGTCGTATAATAAATCTTTGAAAGGAGGTTTTTATCCTGTTTAAGATTTTCCACCTTAAACATTAATATTAAAAGCTTATTCATGATTTTCTTGATGATTATGTGTGCTAAGCCATGGCATTATGATTTTAGTTATATAATTACTTAAAACAAAATTATATTTTTAATTTCGAATCTAAACCTTTTTATTGCCTATTTATTTTTCTTCATTTCATTCGTTCATTGTAGTTCACGAAAGTTGTCTATGGTTCCGAAAATGTTGTTTGCGGCCGCAAATCAAACGAAACTTCGCATTCGAGAACCGGAGTAGACCTCGTGGTCACACTGATATTAACAGTCTAACCATCAGTTTTACTGTTTACCAGTTGGTGTCAGTACACCACGGCGCGCTGTGCTGTAGCGTGAGGTCATGTTTGGCCAATCACTGTAACTGATAAAAAATTAATCCCTATTGACAGCACTTTAGGAAATAGTTTGTAGACAAGAGACCTTTCGCTACACCAGCGATTTCGACGATAAACTCACTGAAAGGGGCAGCCAGTTATTCACTAATATTTGTAAAACTAATTAAAACTTCATCAGACCGCTGAAACATCAGATGCAATAATGGCTGACCCTGGAGACACTTTCCAGACTGTCACCTTCGTACCCTCGGAAAACAACGGAGAGGTCAGCTATGTGCTGGTCGTGCAGGAGGAGAAGGCTGTTGTCAACATAGATCTCAAGGTACCAAACCAGGTAGGAGGCACTATTGTACTAACAATCTCATATTATGCTCTATTAGTAGCGTGAGACTTATTAAAAGGCAAAATAAATATACTCGCCTATAAACTATTTCACAAAGTAAAAAGCAATGGGCATCATTCCCCTGTTTCATCGTCATAAACACATAAACACAGTGGCACTGACGACCAAAGGCCTCTTTTCGCACGAATAAGGGCATTAATCACCACGCTTGCTCGCATTGAGAAAGCGTGGTAATTAATGTGGCGATTGGCGATTTCAAACATATGATCAGTAGTTATACGCCCAGGTTTCCTCACTATGTTTTCCTTCACCATTTGTCAGTGGTGTCTAGATAATCTTAGAAAGTACATATAACTTGAAGAAAGTCACATTGGTACTTGCCGTTGGTAGCTTTCGAACCCACGCGTATGAGAACCGGGCGTCTTAAACCTCCGTGTTTTAGACTTCCTCACCCTATTTATTAAAGACAAATTCGACAAATTTCAATAAACCAATATATTATGAAAACAGTATATTTCTCATCATAGTCACTGCATCATAGTCATCATAATGCTGATATTTTCAGCAAGTACTAGATGCTAATTTTTGCAGTGCTAGATTTTGAAACTGAGATAATACATAGTTTGTATTTTGCCCTTTTTACTGCAACAGTCAGATTTTCTGAGTAATCATTCAAGGATCACAGTTTTGGCACTTATTTCTCTTAAATCGATGAAACATAATTAAGGACTATATAAAAACTAATAGGATTAAAAATCCTTTCCAATTACCATTATCCAAATGGTGAATTAGTCTCACGTTACAATATAATGGCATTATTATTTAATGACATGTAGGTACTAATTGCAATTAATTTACACTGTGGGTGCTTATTCATAAATACTAACAAGATATTTACAATTAAGATATCCATAATTAGTAATTAACATAACTCCTAACACATTAGCAGCTATCCAAGAACCGGTAACGGAAATTAACAGATGATTTTCAACATATTTCAAATGTTTAATGCAAAATAATTAAGTATGCCAATAAGTATATGGAACGTACAACTAATTGAGGACTAACAATTACATGACACTAATTTGTATATATCAATAACAATATAATATCACTGCTTTATTCACTAAAGGTAAAGGTGACGGTGAACATAATAAATGGTAACACACATTTTTAAAAATTCATGTACCCCATATAAATAGGGATTAATTCTATTACCATTCCTATTCAACAGGCGCATTTTCAAACTCCCAGTTCGCTACTGAGAATTTTGTAAATGAATTAGTCCAGTAGTCGACTGCCATAGCCGGTAAATAAACTATTATACATTTATCGGAGACCGGGCAGCTGCGTTCTTTCATAGAGACCTGAATCTTTTAACTTTTGACCTGATTATGGCAACTGTTATGGGACGACGTCCTCCATCGCAGACCGCATCATCACATACCACCAGGCGAGATAGTGGTCAAACGTTAGCCCATCAAATATAATATGAATAAACAATTTTTGTCATGGAGAAGACGCCTTTAGCAGCTGTTAACATCCATCCAATAAAAAGTTTTTAATGTAATTGTATTATCATTTAGACGGAGGAAGAGAAAGGCAACGACGATGTTTACAACTTCGAGGAAGAGGAAGCAGGTGAAGAGGCCTCGGAAGCAGAGGATGAGGAGATGGCAGAGGGTACCAATATAACCCCCAAGCACACACAGAAACGGACCAAAACCCTTAGACCACACTTCACTTGCAACTTCTGCTCTTATACTAGTCACCGACGGTAATTATATTGTTTATGTAGCAATAGGACCGCCTAATTATATGATAGGTTATAAGATTCCAATGCCAATCATTTTTACCTTAAACCCTATCCGTCTTATTACAAAAGTTCGACTTAGTACTGGTTTAAACCCGGACTATAAGATCTAGGTTTGTTACGGTATTAAAGCTAGTACCAGGACTAAAATTTGTTCCAATTATAAAACTAAGACTATTCGGGGTTCATCTAGTACCAAAGAAAGTCCATAGTCCCACAGATAAAAAACATAAATAGCATTCTTTCATTCGTTCACTCAGGATCCACTTGAAGCAACGTTCCGTTCGTCTAAATATTGTTATTACAATAACGCCTGAAATGCTTAAATAATTATGTATCAACACAAAATTATATCATAAATTGTTTTTTGTTTGTGTTACAATATAGTGAACAAGCACAACTTGTATTTTGACGAGCTTTTTATAACCAAGTTGTCATATTTTTTAACACCTCTAGCGTGAAATGGAGCGACTTATAAGAAGGCGGCAGAGCACGAATCACGAAACAAATATTGAGTCTTTTTTATTATATAAATATTATTGTTTATTGTGTCTGACTGGAAATGGAACAACAACTGTACTTATATCGAAAGTCTTCGTCACTCAAGTCAAAGGGATATTTATTTACACGATGGCGATGTCTGTACGATCGCCAAGACGTCTCTAACAACTGTCCAAATCTTCCAAATCGTTTAAATCCATAACATCAATCGGTTCAATATCCATTTTACAATTATAATAATATAGAAGATACACGTAAATATTTCTGATAGCTAACCTCAAATAACTTTAGTACCGAAGTTAAACTAGGGGTCTCGGCGGTTTAACTTTAATACCATAGATAGTTCCGGAACTAGTGATAAACTTTGTTTTATAATAACGTTTTATTTAGTCATGGTTTAAACCTAGTATTAATCATGGTACTAAAAATAGATCGGGTTTTGTAATAAGACGGTATATTTTTATTAACTTAACGTTTTGATATGTTAATATGTATCAATTTCATTTTCGTGTTTTTTCACCAGTTACCTTTTACTCCGCCACATGAAATCTCACTCTGAGGACCGTCCTCACAAGTGCAGTGTGTGCGAACGTGGCTTCAAGACGATCGCCTCTCTGCAGAACCATGTCAACATGCACAATGGCATCAAGCCTCACGTCTGCAAGTACTGTAACAGCCCCTTCACTACCTCCGGTAAGTTGAAAGAGTCTTTTCATCACCTTGTAATTTTCAGTTTTAAGTACCGATACAACAGCTTTAATTTATCCAGTACTTCTTTTTATTGATTAGAGTGTATTAGTAACGTATTGAAATTGATTGTGGTTCTCTGTATGCCTCTTCATACATGAAGAGCAAATTTCGATAACGATAATAAAATACCAATTCTGTGGTTAATAAAATGTGTATCCGTCAGGTGAGCTGGTGCGACACGTACGCTATAAGCACACGCACGAGAAACCGCACAAGTGTTCGGAGTGTGACTACGCGTCCGTTGAGCTGTCGAAGCTACGTCGCCACGTCCGCTGTCATACTGGCGAGAGGCCGTACCAGGTAAACGGACCATAATTCCTGCACTTACATGATTACTCGATAGATCAGACAGTCCACTGACAGACTGGGTCTCTACAAATAAGGTTTCGAATCACGAACTCATTTCTTTCTAGATAATTTGTTACAGTAAACAGTAAATAAAAATAAACTAAAATCCAAGATTCCTCCAACTTCATATTAACCAACTTTGGTTAGGGCTTCATTTCCAAACAGTTTGCATTAGCTTTGTTTTATCATTGGCTTTCCTATTCAATTAGGTGATTTTTATCTTTATTAAAATAAGTGATGTGTCTTGCTTGATACCCTTTGGCACAAGGATCTAACTGCACAAATAAACAGTCTGATGCAGTTATATTTTCACGTTAGGTTGTATATGGATTAATTGAAATAAAATGCTTTCTCTTTTACTTCTTATAACTAAACAGGTTTGTGTTCAATTTCCAGTGCCCGCATTGCACCTACGCGTCTCCAGACACATTCAAGCTGAAGCGCCATCTTCGCACGCACACCGGGGAGAAACCGTACAAGTGTGAGCACTGCAACATGTGCTTCACACAATCCAACTCACTGAAGGCTCATCGACTCATTCACAATGGTTTGTCTTTCTAACATGCGTATCTCGTCTATAATATAGATTTAAAGATTAGTATGAATTGAATATGATAAAGGCCCAAGTCTATAGAAATAGAGTGTTGAAAATGCTTAAAAAGCTTACCAATCGCTACTTTACTCGCGACATTCAAACTTTTACGCATTATACACTTAAACTTTCCTCTAAAATCCTCTTGATAAAATTGATAAAATTGAATGAAAAGTTTTTTAGTATTGATATAACAAGTGAAACAAGTGAAACAAGTGAAACAAGTGAATTTATTTCTGCAAATAGGCTACAAGGCAGCACTTTTACACGTCAATTTTATCAAGCGAACGATGAGGTCGACATTTCCTAACTGACTACTCTGAGAAGAAATGTCGAAACAAACTCAGAGGTCTGTCTCTTTTAAAGTCCAGACAGTATATATAATAGATTATGTGTGAGAACCGTGCAAGTTCTTTCTGTAGTGGCCTTTTGAGGAAAGAACCACAACAGTTTGAGCGGACCCGTTCTGAAGGCAGTACGCATGTGTCGGTTTACAGTCGGCTCAATTTACAGGTGAGGCTGACTGATTCGACGAACAATACCAACCTAAAGAACATTTGCGTGGGTCGCACAAATACTCAAACTGTCAGAATATGGGTAATTAGAAAAGAAATGGTGAGGCAAAGTCTCGCACGGTCCTAGCACTAACAATTGTATAGGAAAAAGCAAATGTCAAGTTAGAACAATATATGAAAAACAATGTCAAGAAATGTAACTATATGTTACAAACATGTCAACATGACCTGTGTGGACGTTACAGCAGCTTATTCCCAAGCCAGACTATCATCTAGGTAGTCTTTAATTTTATAAAAAGCTTTACTATAAAATTTATCTTTAATGACATTTTTAAATTTATTTAGAAATTTTGGAATGATTTGATTCAAATTTTGGATATGGCTGGGAATTTTATTGTAAAAGCGTATACTCTGACATCTAAACGAACCACTTATTTTCTTTAGTCTAGTAGTGGGAACAACATATTTGTCTTTATTTCTCGTGTTGATATTATGTATATCACTATGATATTGAACAGACTGACAAAATAAGCAAGGAATTTGTTTCATAAAACTTAAGGACTTTGTATAAATATGTGTATGATTCTTTCTAGTAGCTGAGAAGCCGATGTACTCGTGTGAGCTGTGCCCTGCTAAATGTGGTCGTAAGACAGACCTTAGGATTCACATTCAGAAGCTGCACACTTCCGACAAGCCGCTCAAGTGCCGACGCTGCGGAAAGACCTTTCCTGATCGATACTCCTGCAAAGTGCACAATAAGGTAAGTTCACGTTTTAAAAGTGTTTTATGACGATCTGCCTCTGCTAATCTTCAATTATCCCATGAGGACGTAAATATCAGGATTTAAGAAATTAATAAATAACAATCTAAATAAAAAATCAATCATTATTTACAGGTTTTGGATTGATATCATTTATTAATTTCGACAGTATGTGTAATTCCAGTACAGGCTAGTCTGTGTGTCATAAATGCCGCTGAGATCCATTTGTGCTTATGTAACAGGTTTCCTTATCTTAATCATGTTTTATCTTTGTTAAACAGACCCACGAGGGTGAGAAGTGCTTCAAGTGTGACATTTGCCCTTACGCTTCCACCACACTGCGTCATTTGAAGTCTCACATGTTGAAGCATACTGATGAGAAGCCGTTCTTATGTGACCTCTGCGATCAATCGTTCCGGTCAGTATTCAAGGTTTTGTCTAATCATGATAACAATGAAATTAACTGAATATGTGTTATTTCATTCCATTTTTACTAAAAATAAAAGTGCTCATTACAAAATTAAACATGTTACAGGCAAAAGCAGCTGCTCCGTCGTCATCAGAACCTTTACCACAATCCTAACTATGTGGCGAAACCTCCTAAAGAGAAGACACACTCTTGCCACGAGTGCAAGCGTATGTTCGCACACAAAGGCAATTTGATACGCCACCTGGCTGTCCATGACCCAGATTCTGGGCACCACGAGCGCGCCCTCGCCCTCAAGATCGGCAGGCAACGGAAAGTCAAGTTTATTGAGGAAGAGCCTATGAGGGTGGGTTTATTTGTATGTTATGCTTTGCGACCAACAACAAAAACGCGAATGAGTAAACTATTCAACTTTTAGATAAATAATTTATTAACTAGCTAGTCAACTAAAAGAAAATTATAAAAATAATACGTAATTTACCTTATGTCAAGGGGGTTTGGTGGTTTTCAGTCTCGATTTTAAGTTTTTGAGACAAAACTAAATTTCATACAGTTTTAATTATGGTTCTCGATTTCCATATTGTTTTTAGTTTTCCTTACTAAGTGATATCCATAATAATCAAATGTAGTCTTCATCTTTTTGCTGAGTTTAATCGCTGTTGTGTTCTCCATTCGTGTACTAATTGTGGCCGACTAGCTTGCGGACGAATATGCGATTTAATAAAGTCAAATATTGCAAAAAATGTGCACAAGGCTATTTGCTAATTTTACCATAACATAAAATCACGCCTTTTATTCTCGAAGGGGTAGGCAGAGGTGCACATTACGGCACTAAATGCCACTGTACAATCCTATTGCCAATGCCATTGCTAATTTTAAATTTTAAGAAAGCTAAGCCACAGCAAAACTGATTTACTTAGCGATCTAATTTAGTGCCGCTTTACGTGGCACGAGTACGACACCCGTATAAAACAAACGTAGCGTGCTGCAATATAATAATATCTCGTAAATGACTTCGGGTTCGATTCCCGTCCGAAATAACTCTTTGTGTGATCCATAAACCCACGGCACAGGAGAAAATACCTACTATAAGCCATCGTTTAAAAACAAAAATATAGTAGTCCTCATTGCTTATAAGTACAAATGTCGGGACAAGTGCTAATCTGTGTAATGATTATCACATTGTGTATGGCTCGTCACCTAATTTTCTTTGTGTGTCGTGAATATCCGAATATATTGGAAATAACAATTGTTATGCTATGATAAAAAGCTTGACAAGATTGTGTCACTTTTTACATGGTACTTAATATTTTATGTGAAAATGCATTTGCTCCTAATGTACTGGTTCTGTTGCGCTATCTTTGTTGCTGTTTATTTTCATTTTGCTAGTATACGCGACGACTAAACATCATCTTTTTCATTTGCATTTATTTAGTTTCAATTTTTACTTTGCTCTGCTATTTTTCAACCGCTGCAATCTGCATTTATGATTTGCGAGTTTGACTTTTATTTTTATTGATTTGTTTTATATAATTTTTGAGTTAAATTTACTAAACGCGTATGTAGCAGTTTTATTTAAAAATCATTCAATATTGCGTAAAGCATGGGCGATTGTGCGATGTTATATGTAAATATAACATCGCACAATTTGCACAAGGCTTCAATATGTGCTATACATTCGTAAAAAAAATTAATGCGAATAATGGAAAGCAGACGTGCTTTTATTACAAATATTTGCGAATTTAATTTAACATCTTACAAGTATACTTTTATTTTCAATAATATGCCATGCTAATGTATGTCAATATTACTCTGTTCTTTCATAATATTATAATATACTTACCTAGCAAACAATACATTTTAAAGCGACATTTTTTTTACAATAAAACAAAAGAAATTACACCTAAACACAATCTAAAGTATCAAGTTAACGTTTCCAGGATATCCGCGTCGTTGATTCCTCGGACGCGGCGGAGATGATGAAGCTGGGCTTGAGTAACAATGAGTTGAAGCGAGGCGAGCTGGTAACGGTGTCTGATGGAGACGGCCAGCAGTACGTGGTCCTCGAGGTCATACAGCTGGAGGACGGCACGGAGCAACAAGTCGCTGTCGTTGCTCCAGACTATATAGATGAGGATGAACAAGGTTCGTATAACATAGCATAGCAATATTTAAAGTTTTAGTATTATATCCAGTCAATTATGGAACCACGACTCTCACAGAAAATCAGCACTGTGTGAGTAAGTTAGTAAGTAAGGCCTCCAGGAGGAGACCTGATTCCTCGTAAAAGTTGGGCAATGCACTTGTAGATTGTTTACCATAAGATGATCTGTATGCAGGTTCTTTCTGGCGATTATTTAATAAAGGTTTTTTACTAGTTTCCAATTATGACGGAGTATTATACCGATCAAGAAAGTACTTTGTTACTTTATTCATGGTTCTCCTCCGAAAGTCCTGTTAGCCAAAGTTATCAAGTCGCATGAATTTCGTTTCCAGCGCCGCCTGTCGACCATTAAACACATTTTTGTCTCTTTATGAATTCAAGAACAAAATATTTTAACGACAATTTTTTTATTTATTGCACACATTACATTTGTCATTACAGACTTAGTCTAATGCAACAAAGTTATTTTATATAAAAACTTTCCATGACAAATAAAAAAGAAGTATACTAACTACTATATCCTGCTTATGTCTTACTTACCTCCACATCTTACAAACTATGTAGCGCGTAATCTTCGTGACTCATTATGACTCTTTCTATTACCACTGTGTTCTCAATATGTTAAAAAACGATATGTTAAACAACGATTCAGTGTTCAATATCGACTTAGAAATGTAATTGTTCACCAACATTTTTCAGTAGAAGAGGAAGAAGAAGAGGAGGAGGAGGAAGAATCAACACAGAGGACTTTTACTGTCAAGGACCCTGTGGCTGAACGGAGCATCAAACTCGAAAAAGATGTAGACACCTGTTTTGGATTCGATGTAAGTACTCTTCAAACTATTTCTTAACTAAAACAAATTTATATCAACAGAATATTCATCTTTATAAATCCTAATGTGAGTAAAGGGATTTATATTTATAATATTAATTAACTTAATCCATGATTATGGAAAATTCAAAAGTAGTCTAACCATCGGGAATAAAGCCTATAATGGAGAGTGGTCACCGGTGACCGCTTGGGCACTGGGCAGTTAAGGTAAAATCAGGTTAGTAAGAACCAGCTTTGGGTTTAGTTTATTCGGATTTTCCAGGTTCTGGCTGTTAACAAATTGTATTATTGTGTATTCTGGTACTTTGAAGACTAAGAACAATGTATGGTTTGGTTACCTTGCATGAGCATTCATTTTTAATGCTTAATGGTCATTACGAATATTGACATTAAGAACATTTAAACTATGTTTTACACAAAACAAATATTAAATCTCTATATAGGTGATGAAATAAAATTTTATTACTACAGTCTGCTGAATATATCTGTTAGGATATGAAAATGAACTACTTACTTACTAATAAACAAATTGACAAATGGAATTGAACACACAATGGGTTTATTAAAATTACACACATGACGATCGTGGTATTTACCTGGACATGGTGGTGTTTTTGTAAAGGGTATTTGACTACAAAAGTCGCTATTGTGGCAACAGAACATAAGATGATTGAATGAGAAAAGTTTTTAGTTTTATTTTCGCATATAGGCAACACAGCACTGTTACACGTCAGTTTAAAAATATACTAGATAACAATACTCTGAGAAGAAGTGCCGAAACAAACTCAGACATTTCTTTTCAAGTCCAGACAAATATAAAAAAATAGAAAAGATGTGGGAGAACCATGCAAGTTCTTTTTGTTTTTAATCTAAATTTCTTAAATATTTATTCTTCCAACTTACTGGCCAATACATATAATTACATTTTGTCTACACTACACTATCCAGTTATTTATTCTGATTTTATTTTTATTGATATAACTAATATCATCGCGATTTCGGACAGCTACTAGTCCGACGTTGAGTGTAGTATTGTACGGGCGTTTATTTAACTACACGCGTATTTTCCGGTTGAATGCTGAATGCGAAATGTAAACGTTTTATCAAATAAGTCCCGTGAAAACCTGCCGATATTGAGAATTTCCAAAATCTTAAATAACTCTTAATCACCTTTCTAACTAAGTGACTGTACTTGTTACAGCCCATTCGTGCCTTTGAAACTTACAAAAACTGAATTACTACACGCGTATTTTTTGTTAAATGCTGAATGCGAAACAAAAACGTTTTTATCAATTAATAATATGGCATGGAATATAACACCAACTTTTTTGTCCAGTTATAAGTCCTGTTAAAACATGCCGACTTTGAGAATTTCCAAAATCTTAAATAATATTCAATCATCTCTCTAACTCTAACTGACTGTACTTGTTACAGTCAATACTGAATTACTTCTTTATGGGCTTCAATAATATGTCCCTGGGTTGCAATGGGCTTCATTGTCTCGGTGCTTTTCTGGTTGCTCTCTATTAACTACGTGATGATGGGTGGGAACAAGTAGAGGGCTGCTCCAGGACATATTCAAAAGAATGTACTAAGCTTAGGTAATTGACCTATGACAAAAATTTTCTTTTAAAATTTTACAGGTGTAGTAGTTTAAGCTGGCATCCCTTTCTTTACCTATCTGTCATGTTATTTTATGTGTATAATTTATTTAAAGTACTGTCCTATCTCTTTGGAATGAATTTTCTATGCATATGTCCTTGCTTTGTTTGTATTTTGATTTTTTTTATTTTTATTTCCATTTACCTATTTCCAGGAGGAGGATGAGGACGCGGAAGATGAAGATTATACTGATAAAGTAGTTTTGCGTTGTTTAGTTTAGTGTTGTATCAATGTGGTACAGGTTACTGGCATGGCTGACGACGTCTATAGGACTAAAGTCCAAAAAATATTTATTATTCTACAGTTTTATGTTCTTGTAAATTGGAGGCGTAGTATAAATGTAGTGTTAATTTATTTCCTAAGACTTGTATTATGATATTTATTTGACCAAGTTACTTGTGGATGACACTAGCTTTGCTCGGGTCCTTCGCGCATTCAATACGTTGCCGAGTTTTAGAAGGCGCTGTTTTATAATAAATGTAGCTCGTAATGTAAAGAAAATATTTAAATATAACAACCACTTAGGGAATTATAAATAACATTTTTGTTATAAAAACAGTTCGTAACTAAATCATTTGATGTAAAAAAGTAGTTAAAAAGTGTATGTTCGAGTTTCTTAAAATATTGATGCAAAATTTTACTTGGTTTCTAGTTTTATTCTAGTAAACCAGACCCGATGTTGGTATTCATTGGTAACATCTTCCATCAACAATACATTCCTGTAATGCATTATCTACTGGAATGTTACTCTGACCGGGAATGCGGAATACAGACATCTCCGAGAAACTCTTCAAGGTTCAAAGTCAATTCATTGATTGCACAACTCGCGCCATAATATTTAACTCACTTTCACATTTTTTTATATGTGCCAACGGGATGTTAGCGAGGACGAGCTAGTGTTATACATAACAGTAACGGCGATGCAAGTAGGATGCAGTCAGTCCAATGTATTAGCTTAACGTGGAAGATAACGTGTGTCTCTTGAATGTGTTTAATGTAAGTGCTTTTACGATGATTCTCTTGGTGTTCGCTTTGTGTGAGTTTATGCTTCGCGACACAGTGATCAAGGCTGTGCGAATGAATGATTTTACATTTTTATTAAGTAGATGTTTGTAGAAGTTAATTGGATCGTGTCTCGTCATCCAATAGGCGAGCCACATAGTCTTAGCTTTATCTCGTATTTTTATTGATGTACTAGCCTCCTTCGTACCGTCTAGTGTCAGAGAGACCTCACACGTCACTTAAGTTTTAGATTATGTCGTTCTTATTGGTCAGCCCAGACGCCATGCTGGTAGACTGTCTTAAGCGTCGATTGTTCCAAATACTACAATCGATATTATGATAGAATTTGAGGTCTAACGAAAGTACGTAACTATATTATGTCTGATTTATTTTATAATTAGTGCTCACTGTGTGAAACTGAAGAATTGCGCGGTACTGTGCCCGTGTTTTGCTTTATGTGTGTCATTGTTAGTTTGGTTGCCGTACAACAATACAGGATGTTGTTGCTTCGCTGCCTGCCTCGTACTTACCCGCAATCCTACCGTATAGTTACGCACTTTCGTGGCCTCGTATATGTACAGTTGGAAGTTATTTAAAAAAAAAAAACGTGAACATACATTCCGTACGAATACGGAAGTAAAAATTTATAGTGAGACACGAGAAGCTAACGATATAAAAGAGATATATATGAAATAAATATTTTTTGTACTGATGCATGTGGTTGGGCGTAGAGTTATATGTACGTTGACAACGATCGGCAGCGATCTGATAGGTGTTGCACTGGAAGCGGCGACGGGGTCAGTGGACGCAGTGAACGCTACTTACTATGGCATTGCGTGCGCGCGTTACTGCGCTTGCACTGTGATGCAGGGAGGCGCTAGCTTCTCGTGTCTCTGCTATCGTTATGAACAGTGACTGGTTGAGCGCGGTGCGGCGTCGCGTTGTCTGAGCTCCGTCACCTCAGTATTAGTGCTCGCAACTGTCCTCAGTGCGCTCAAACACTCAACTTGTGCTCATAATTATGGAAGAAACACTTTTAAGTAGTTTATTAATTGTGTCGGTAAAGTAATCTAAAGTAATCTTGTGTTTAAAATATTTAATTAACTCTTTAGGAATTAAATTGTCACTAGTTTACACTTTTACTCGAAGGCCAAATAATGAATTCAAAGGCGTTTTCTTTATAATTTATGACCTAAATGATGTTGACCTTATGTTATTAGTTTATACTTAATTATAGATTTAGGTATTATAAGATAACAGCATGGATACCGTGGAGTATGATGGTAGTTGTACCAGCACTTGATGTTCCGTGGGTGCGGGCGGACAGTTCGCCCCACACTACCACCTACCTTCCTACTCCGACCGACTTTGAACAACTTTGTATATTAATTTTGGCTTTAGATAAGTTTATTTTCCTTATTTTCACTTACCACATGTGTTGTAACATAATTTCCTTTTGGTTCCATCACGCTTCCTAAAGCCCAAAAAGATCGCTGTATAGTTGTTCAATTTATTGTAAAAAAAAATATTTGGATAAATGACAAATCGCAACTTATTTCTTGTTTTATTTTTTACTTGAACTTATTTCATCATCAACAATTAATTTGGACTGATCTATATGTTGAATGCATCGTTTGAAGTCGGCGCAATGTTATCATTCGTACCATTAGTCATGTATGCGGCAGAGCACTGGTACCTCAATTCTACCTAAAAAATAAATCTTACACAAACGTGAAACTTAAACAATTTTTTTACCTTGGCTATCATCAAATTCGTTTAAAATATTTGACAAAATAGTTCACTAACAGCTGGAAAGAAAATCGTATATTTTCTTGAAAGTACAAACATGTTACCTGGTCTACCTGATGCAAAATGGAGGCACCTACAACTTCAAACATACACAACATACAAATACATTCATCCCCACAAACTTGATAAGCTTGCACTTGCGAGTGAGCCTAAACTCGTTACCATCCTCATGTCGGTTTTCTCAGCCTAAGTACAGCAGTACATCCCCTGCGGCTGGCAGAAAACTACATCAGGATAAACAACATAATTCTGTCGACAACCGTTTGGCGAGAACGGTCTGACGGACCGATTTCCGGACTAAAGCAGTTGAGGTTCTATGCTAGTTTCTTGTTGTTTGCTAGTTTATTTCCATGTCACTAACACAATTAGGTCTTCTAGAGGAACGGACGAAATGCGAGACGGGGTGGTAAAGGTCGATTGTCTCCGGTTCCTCGGTCGACACTGGTCGACTCGCCAATATTGAAGGTGAGTAGAGTAACTAAGGTACATCGTAAGGGATAAAGGATACCACGTAAATGATAACAGGTCTTATTTGACACTTCCTCATAGTTCATAACATTACGCCTTCCATCCGCGAAGTGGTAGGCAGAGGTGCGCATTACGGCACTTAACGCCACTGTACAATGTAACACCCACTTTTCACTATTTATGTTATGAGTCCCATGTAATAGGGGGTGAGCCTATTATTGCCATTTACCGGGCACATTGTTCATGTTAGCTACTGCTACTGCTACTGCTGACCAGAGGTCTCTTCTCGCACAGGGAAGATTAGAGCATTTATTCCACCAGGCTTGCTCAATGCGGGTTAAAGATTTCAAACTTATTATTAGAAATTATAAGTTAAGGTTTCCTCACGATGTTTTCCTTCACCGTTTGTGTCTAAATATTCTTAGAAATGACATCGGAAAGTCACATTGGTACTTGACTCCTCTGTTCTGAGTCATTAATGGTTTACATCGCGAGCATTTAGCAATATATAGGCACACCATAACTCCGAAACCACAGACATTTGACCTTAGTCGTTATACTAAGTTTTATTCTGCATAGGAATATTTATCCATCGAAGGGTATCTTATTCCTATTGAGAGGTGGGCCCAGTATCACCCATTGTTCCTTGATTGGGGGAAGGTAGGGTACAAGGTTCGTACCTTGACCGTTGTCCACATCAGTAGCGTAAAGCTGATTGGTACGTTCGGGATTACCCCCATCTTCCCCTGTTCATATTTTGAGAAACACAAGTTTATTCGGAGACCTTGTGTTATAATACTTATTTTAAATTTTCAGGTAGAACCTTCAAAATGTAAAAAGACTTATATAGCACGGAAACGCTCTGCGGCTCAAGCTTCGTAGACAGCCTTCCTGATACAGTACATGGGGAGTTGGGGTGATTGTTTGCAAACAGATTACACATTATTACATGCTTGATTGATTCACCATAAAAACATTGGTAGGAAGTTGAATTTACTTACCTCCAGTTGAATGTTGTAGTAGGACGATCTTGTTGCAGTTCCAGTAATTATCTAATAACTAATATCCTGAAATACAACTACTCTCAGTCAGTTTTAAAATAACTATTAGAAACCTAAACCTGTAAGAAACTTTATTGTGGGAATCCTTAAATTCTAACCAACATGCCATCATCATTGTGATCACCAGACTTCATCCAATAATTCATTAAGTTCCAAAATTTTAATATCATTTTAATGTAGATAGATGTAGTTAAACAAATATTATGTAGTATTTAAGAAGTATTTTTCTCCATAAATGTTAATAGTTATACATTAAATATCGCGAGATTAGAAAAAAACAAGTATCCGTATGTACTACATTTTGTCCAAAATACAATGTTAAATCATTTTAAAAGTTGTTTACTTAATTCAATGTTACTGTTCTATTATTATTATTGTGTATTTATTTTAGAATATAGAAGGGAATATTATGAATAGTTTTTTTTTAATTTAGTAGAACGTAATAGAAAATAATTATATAGTTTAGTTTAATCCCGACATGAATTTCATTGGTAAAATTTCAGTGTCTGCACCATAAATCTGTATTATTGTCTCACTGTTACAATCAAATAATAAATGGATATTATAATGTTTATTTTTATTTCTTTACACCTTGACAATTTCCAAGTATTAACACACAGAGGAAAGTCTATCTATGGGACCTTCAAGTATTATTAAAATTTCTAAGTGGTAGTCAACTAAATTACTTATGGGCCTGATTCACAATGGTTGTGTTATAAATCCCGTATTATAGAGGTAAAAGGTATGTTTCATCAGTATTCAAATCTGCTAAAGACTGCACTGTTTCTTTTATGCAATCGCAGGTTCGATTCCTGAATCTTTGAGGAAGATGGTGATCATTTGAAATCCATCTTGCAAAATAAATATTAGAACCTAATGGTTTGGTACGTGATGACGGCAAGAGACCAGATGGTATGCAGCCTTGGAAGATGGGTAGCCTTTGGTGTGGGACGTGACCGCGACGTCCTTTGCGCCATCAATCTCCTTAGTATCGGTGCATGCGCTGGTACGGCCGCTTCCGCGGCAGAGACCCTCAAACGGCGTAATTATTAAAATCTAGTAGCCTACTAGATGTATAAACAGATAGTAGGCTATTGTTTTGAGCCGTTTGGGGTTGAAACCCTTGGGCCATGCGGGTCCCAGTGCACACTCACACTCTGTTTGTAAAAAATTGCCCGGAGGGTAATCGACTCTATATGATTGTGACCAGAGGGCTGGCTGTTTCTTCGGGCAGAAAATAAGCATTGCCATTTAACGTGGTAACGCTGCCAGTCTGCTGGGAATGTTCCTCGGGGACCGTGATGCGGACGACTGCTTTGACACCTAATGAAGGATATTTTTTTGTGGTTTTTTATTCACTGGTTTAGTTGTAGTTAATTTTAAACTATATATTTATGTAGTTATATCTTTACAAAATACATTATTTAACTAAAGTGAGGGTTTTGTGTAAATAAGTATATATGTTGTGATGCTTATTATTGGGTAGGTACCGACTATCATACTTAACTTTTGAATCGCGAACAATCTTACCTGATTATTTATGTACCTCTATAATTGCCTATTAGAAAAATAGGGAGTACTTATACTTTCCAAATTGTACGAATGCAACTAGTACGTAGTTGCGTTTTCGAACCTTGAAGCAGTCAATATATAGTTTTTCGTTTGAGATTTTACAAAAATATGACCCATTAGGTCTAGATAGATAGATAGATCTCTAAATATGTCAAAATTTGATCTGCTTTTTGACCTCTAGTTTTTGCTTTTGATATAAATAATACCTAACCTACAAAAAGAATCCAAGAAACCTTACAAACTATTTTTTTGACTGCTCTTCTAATAGGGTGTGGCAGTGCTAGTTCACCTGTCTGCACTCTGCCACCGGCAGTCAACTCGAGTTTGGATCTTTTGCCAAAAGTTTATGTTGAATTAGGTACCAAGCCAGCTCCTTTTTCTCACTGGGCTTGCTGTCATTGCAGCGGTCAGTCCCCTCTTTGAGAAGTGGCTTGAGAGACGTTACGGCGTCTTCACCTACCGCCTGATGCAGGTGCTTAGCGGACGCGGGATTTTCGGTAGGTTTTTGTTTTGGATTGGGCGGTAGGAAACGCCCGGGTGTCATCACTGCGAGGACCACCTGGAGGTCACGGTGGAGCATACGGTGGCGGTGTGCCCTGCGTGGGCTGGGTGACCTCTTGAGTCCGGCTCTAGTTCAGGCCATGGTGCGGAGCGTGGAGGACTGGGATGCCGTCTCCTCCTTCTTCGAAGCAGTCATGCTCGCCACAGAGGAGACGGGGCGCGTTAGGAAACGAATCTTACGACCCAAAGCTCGCGGGAGACATTCCGGGTGTCGGAGATCGCGATCGCGGGTCTGCGGACGGCGAGCAAGGGTAGCTCGCCGCCCGACCAGAACTAGACCCAGATGGCACAGCGCGTTCCGCGCACGCCTCACAGAGCCATCGGACCACCACAGATGGGCCCAGTAGGGCTGATGCCCGATACGGACCCGCGAAAAGCCTAACGGTTTGCTGGGGCTCTAGCTCGAAGAGCAGGAGTAGGAACGCGGTGGTTGATGATTACCCGTCCAAAAATATCCCTTCCTACATACTTACCTCAAGACGTATGTTGTACGTCCCATGGGAACTTTTCAGATTCACTTAGGTTTTCAAAAGCGTTATAAGTAGACTAGCTGTTGCCCGCGACTTCGTCCGCGTAGATTAATGACTTCTGACAGAATCAATTCAGTGCCCAAGTAGGATTTACCTATTTTGAAATGATTTATCGTAGTTTCAATAAATAAATAATCCCGCAGGGATCTTACCAGTACCTACAGTGCCCGATCACGTAAGATTTGAGTAATAAAAACTATTCTATCGACTATTGTTGTACCGAATCTCTCTAAAATAAGTTCAGTGGTTAAGAGTTAGACAGTCCCGGGGCATTGACGCATAGTTCCCGTTCCCGTGGGACATCTGTGATAAAAACTATCAAACGTTACCCAGGTCCCAAATCATCGTTTTACCGAATGTAATTCAAAAAGATTCAATGATTCTTAATTCAATGGCTAAGAAGATTTATACAAACTCTCATTCCCTATTTTATCCCCTTAGGGGTGGAATTTATCAAAATCCTTTCTAAGGAGATACCTATGTCATAATAAATTTATGCATGCAAAGTCTCAGCCCGATCAATTTAAAACTGGCAAAGTATCATACTTTGGGGTGAGAATGTTCAAAAACCTTTCTAAAGGGACGTTTACGTCATAATATCCATCTGCACGCCGAATTTCAACCCGATCGGTGTAAAACTGACAAAGCATACAAACGTTCATCCCCTACATTACCCCATTGGAGGTGGAAATAATCAAAATCCTTACTTGGGGATGCCTACGTCATAACATCTACCTGGATGCCGAATTTCATCTGCATCGGTGTAAAACTGACAAAGCTTCATATAAACTTTCACCCCCTATTTTACCCCCTTAGGGGTGGAAATGATCAAAATCCTTTCTTAGCGGATACTTATATGATAACATCTATCTGCATGTCAAATTTCAATCCGATCGATTTAAAACTGACAAAGTCTCATACAAACTTTCTTCCCCTATTTTACCCCCTTGGGGGTGGAAATTATCAAAATCCTTTCACAGCGGATTACTACGTCATAACATCTATCTGCATGCCAAATTTCAACCCGATCGGTTTAAAACTGACAAAGTCCCATACAAACTTTCATCCCCTATTTTACCCCCTTGGGGGTGGAAATTATCAAAATCCTTTCACAGCGGATGCCTACGTTATAACATCTATCTGCATGCCAAATTTCAATGCGATCGGTTTAAAACTGACAAAGTCTCATACAAACTTTCATCCCCTATTTTACCCCCTTGGGGGTGGAAATTATCAAAATCCTTTCACAGCGGATGCTTACGTCATAACATCTATCTGCATGCCAAATTTAAACCCGATCGGTTTAAAACTGACAAAGTCTCATACAAACTTTCATCCCCTTTTTTACCCCCTTGGGGGTGGAAATTATAAAAATCCTTTCTTAGCGGATGCCTACGTCATAACATCTATCTGTATTCCAAATTTTAGCCCAATCTATCCAGAGGTTTAGGCTGTGCGTTGATAGATCACTATGTCAGTCAGTCAGTCAGTCAATCACCTTTGAATTATATATATATAGATACTACTAGATACTATCCTATTCAAGTTCAGGATTCGAACCTGGCGCTATTATTTTATTCATTCCAAAATAAAGTAATTATATGTGTACCTACATTAGAAGCATAACCTTTTACTTTCAGGAAATGTATTGTGTAAATCAAGCCTCTGGTCCAGCTCCTAGCCTTTTTATTAATTGTCATCTGTACTTCGATGTTCAGAGATTTGAATGCTTTTAATTGAGTCCATGAATCTTCAAATATTTATTATAGAGGGTGCGCTTCTAGAAGGTTCGGAGAATTAGTAATTATTCTGGGTAAGGGTACCTTTTTTAGATTTTGAGATATGTTGTGTGCCAGAACTCTATGATTTGACAATACTTTTCTGTGATTTCATAAGTTTAGTATACCCATTGCAGTTGCAGTCCAACTCAATTCTACCATTGTGTATTATGATAAATTTCAAGTGTCGGTCAGGGTTTAGACCTTTTACAATTTGAGACTTGATACCTTCTAACCAAGGATAAACAATAAAAACTCACATAAATAATATTACAAACATTTAATTCAAGTAAGTTGATGTATTTACAAACTAAGTACACACAATTTCATTGTTTAATATAATATAAAACTATTGAATTTGAAAGGCCTTTCTACAGGCCGGTGTGGAAGACTTTTCGATGTGGAAGAAGGCGAGGTTGAAGCTCAGCTCTGATCCCCTGCTGGCGTCCGTGGCTGGCACCTACAGAAAACAAATCACATGTTACAATCTTATAATTGACATCGCTCAAAGGACTGACGGCCAATGGGCTAGGAATAAATATTCGAGTGGCGACTACTGACCGTAAGACGTCGCATTGGCAGACATCGTCAGTCACGGGGAGTCATTGGATGGATGATGAGTTGTCGTTCGATGTGGAGGGCTAAATGGACGCCTTCGTTCAGCATGTCTTCCGGCTGATGATTATGAGCTGTT